TTAGACGAATCGTCACGTTTTATATAATATTGGATTGTGAATGGATGTGGAAATGTAAATGTCGATTTTATCAGAGCAAAATACAAATCAATTTATTATTATTATTATTATTATTATTATTATTCGCGTATATAAAATAGTTTAATCCTTTCGAGAAAACTTAAGTTCCGAATTATTTTTTATACGAATTTTTTTTTTATTATTATAAAAGATAAGAGACAAGAGTATTTTATTAGAAGTGAAAATTTTAATCTCATTTTGGAAATTTTCTCAATTTATTACGTCTAATAGAAAAATCCGAGTCAGAAGAGTTTCAGATATTTTTAGTAAACGTTCGAAATCCTTATAATAATCCGATAAGTTGATATAAACTTTTTAAATTATCGAGTAGTTACATTTATATTTCAATCCTGTGACAAGACATTCATTTTTTTTTTCTTTTTATCGTTGTATTCATCGGTAAAAGAAAAATCCGTCTCTCGAAAGGATTAAATTATATCGATTACGAAAGTTGTTAACGTTTAACCGATACGTTCACTTTTCAAAGATATAGCAGCGATTTTTGCAGCGATATTCTGCATTTATATCCCATTTAAATTCATACATAATACGTATGAAATGCCATTGAAAACAGATATATTTTACGTGTTCAACTGTTACAACGGCTTATTGTTAGTTTACATTGATTTCTAAGTTTAGACGGGGAATAGAATATTTCATACGCGTAAAACGAATTTATTATAAATATATAATGCGTACTACATTTGAAATTGTGTATCTTAGCAAAATCAAAAACCGACATAACTTTCCTTACCAATCCAATATGCATAAATTATACGTCGTATATAATAACATATTCTCTCGACTCAAATGCGAAATACGTTTCGAGAACGAATAATAACTCGTCGAACAAGTTATGCACACGTGATTCCTCGATTCTTCTCCGACTTGGATATATAATATACAATTTATTAATATCCACAGAAAAATTAAAATTCGACCGAAAGAAATAAAGAACAGAGAAAAAATTCGTTTCCTCTATCTCAACCAAATCGATCTGGAATCGAGTCGAAATGATATTACACGCGCTATAAATAGAAAAAAGAAAAAAAATACTAATCTCGCCCTCGTTCCTTCAGATCTTCGCCCAAAAGGTAGAGGCAGGCCGCAAAGGATTCTGTTGGGCGTTTGGCCGGACGAGCACATCCGCGGCGTGATCCGAGCCGTCGTGTTCCGCGACGGCCATTCCCCGCACATGGTGAAGGAAGAGCCAACGATGTATCCCGGTTTGGCGAATTACGCGGCCTGCAACGGTCCCGAAGGCGCTGTCAGTCCCGGAGCGGCAGCCGCGGCCGCGGTTGCCGCAGTCGCTCAAGGTAATAACGACTTCCCCTTCCTCTCCCCTGTCGAAACACAACAACAATATTAATAAAAAAAAAATTATTTTCGGTGCATCGGCGTACACAGGACTGCGGCATCAAATGTGCAGCATGGTAGCGGCGGCGCACTCGCAACAGCACGACATGATGGCGACAAATCTCTCCACGAATCTGTCCACGAGCCTCACGTCGAATCTGCAGGCAGCGATGCAGGCCAGCCAACACCACCACAATAACAGCGGGCCAATTATCGGGAGCAACAACGGCGGCAACACCGGCAACTCGCCGTTGAACCTTGGCCTAGGAAGCCCGGGAAGCGGTGGTCCACCCGAGAGCCCGATGGAGAGCCCCCTCGCCAGCCCTCTCGGCCCCCTCATGGATCCCGGCCACATACCGAGCAGCGTGGAAGTCGGGATCGGCGTGAGCGGGATGACCTACAAACCGGCACGAAGCTTCGTCAGCCCGCGGCCGGAGACCCTTTTTCAGGAGGATATCGCGGATCTCGTGAAGAGTCCGCACGGGCTCAAGGACAAGGACAAGATCCCCGTTAAGCTCGAGCCGTTGACGGACTCGCGTTGCGAATAGTAAGCAAGGCAGGCTCGAGATAGAACGAGCTAATTGTTGTTGGATCGGCGGAACAGCGTCGTCGTCATCGTCGTCGTCGTCGTCCCACTTCCATCGCGATCCTTCCAACAGATGGATTCTGCCATCGTCGCAATCGTCGACGACGCATCGCGCAGAGCCGAGTCTCCGGGGAGGCGACGCTCGGCTATACGGATTATTCGAAGGTGGAGGATTCGCACGGTGATATCGCGACCGATCGCGTCTCTTCCATTCTCGAACGATTCGTATTCGGTCGATCATTCGTCCTCGCGACGATACTGCAGTATATATACATATATATTTATATATATGTATATATATATATAAATAAATAAATATATATATATATATATACATATATAAATATATATATATCTCGTTCGACGAGATTTACAATCAAAAATCGGGGGAGAGGGGAAATGATTGAATGAAGGGGGAATCGAGGAAGCGACGACGTTCAGGGAACGCACACTCGATGATCGATGCTCGATCCCTCGAATCCCCTCGAATTTCTCGCATACTAACGAAACCTTCCTCCCGACCGAAACACCCTCGAGCATCGATCGCGATCGCTCGACCGAGCTCCTCTCCGCTCCGCTCGCAGCCGCTCCAAGGCCGCCTATTTTAAGAGAGAACGTTCTATTCGTGGCTAATCGCTCGATTAGGAACCCGCGACATTCTTCTTTGCGAGGCATCCCTGCGCGTCAAACAAGCGGTTGGAAAAGCGAGAGAGAGAGAGCGAGAGAGGGGAGGGGGAGGGAGGGGAATTCGCGTGCTACACGGACACACGCTCACACACTCGAGATTTATATATCTTATGCATATATACCATACGTTTAATATGCCAAATGTATAGTAATTGGTGAGATCTTGTATCACGAGCCAGTATTCCCGCCGCGGTTCGAGACGCGGCTTTAATATTATCGGGGACTCGCCGATTTATTAAGAAACCACAAACGCCACGTGTGCACACGGGCGGATAAGGTGTAGTAGGCAGCGCGAGACGCTGCGAGAAAGGGTGACGACTGGTGAAATTAGGGCGTTCATAGAACGCGGGATCGATTGGTGAAACGTTGCGCTTCCGAGAAAAAAAAAAAAAAGAAGAAAAGAAGGAAANAANAAAGAAGAAAGAA